CTTCCTTCCTTCCTTCCTTCCTTCCTTCCTTCCTTCCTTCCTTCCTTCCTCCTTCCTTTATTTCTTCCTTTCTTCCCTTTTTTGGTAGCTGTTTTCTTGACTCATTTCCCCTGGAGTGTAAACCCCGAGGGCCTTGTTCACATAGCAGCCCCATCACTTAGCACAGTGCTTGACACACAGTAGGTGCTCAGAAGCTAGCCAATGCCTGAATGGTTCCATCTGGCCATTGGGGGCACTGTGAAGGCAGAGGAAGGTGCCCACATGGAAGAACAAGGCATGGCCCACTTACTCTTGACCCCCTCGAACAGCAGAGCCTCCCCATGGCCCTCCTTCAGCTGCTCCTGGAACAGTTTGTAGCAGGACCTGGGGCTGGCCAGGAGCAGCCGGAAGCCCTGGAGGCAGAAACACTGGGGTCAGAGGTCAGCCTTGCCCAGGGGCTCCCAAGGAGGAGGGCTCTGCGGAGGGTGCAGGGAGTGAGGCTTGGACCCAGCTGGCCGCCTCCTCCATGCCCCCTCCTGGGGGAGGGAAGGCAGAGTGCAGAGCTGTGTTGGGGGCTCAGGAAGGAGCATGCGGCCTCAGACTGCACCTTGTGCGCGGGGACGAAGCTCAGGAACTCGTCCACGTGGCCCACGTACAGCCAGTCGGAGTAGAGTTTCACAGGGGCCTGCACCTGCTGGGCAGCGAGGAAGTCCTGCAGGGCCTGGTGCATCTCCTGGCTCTTGGCGCTGCCCACACAGGATGAAGGGAGCGTTAGGGGAGGGGGAGGGGCCAGCCGGGAGGTCCCCGCGGGACTGGGGGCTTGGCAAAGGAATCAGGAAAGGGATTTAGGAGCCTGGGCTGCTTTTATTATATCCCCTACCATTTGAGGAATTGAGGAATTTTCATCCCAGTTTAATTGGGGAAACTGAGGCAGGGAGTCAGTAAGGTAAATAGGACTAGAGCTTAGCCTCAGAAAGCACTGCCTGTTGACCCAGCCTAGATGCTGGTGTGAATAAACATGAGGTTTGGAGCTGATCCTCCCCACCGCCCCCATGTTGGTAATCTCTTGTTAGTTGTGGAGGAATTGAGGAATTTTCATCCCAGTTTAATTGGGGAAACTGAGGCAGGGAGTCAGGAAGGTAAATAGGACCAGAGCTTAGCCTCAGAAAGCACCTAGTAGGTGCTCAGTGAGTATTCACTGGCCTAAAGAGTGTACATGGCAGTGCAGGAAGGTGACCTTGGGTCTGTTGGGATCCCAAGCCCGTATCCTGGCCCTGCACTGTGATTCCTTTCACATGCCCTAAAGTTTGTTGAGCCCTTTTGGGTTGGGAGCAAGTAGGAAAGGCTTCCCGTCTGGCCTCTGCTTTTGCCCGGCATCCCCGGGTCCTGGCCACCCCTGGCGGCCCTCCCCTCCTTACCTGGGGTACATGCTGTGCCCAATGAGAATCCTGCCCAGCGGGTACTTCTTCTTCCCAACTGTGACCGGGGGGCTCACTTCCAGGTTCCCAAAGGAGTCGAGGTTGGTAACGCCCCCTGTTTGGGGGCCTCGAGTCACGTAGCCAAAATCTGGACCCTGAGGTGGGAGAAGCGCAGGCCAAGAGTCAGAGCGAGCCCCTGGGTGAAGAGAGGGTGGGGTCTGAGTTTAAAGATTGGCGTGGTCACCGGGAGGACTGCGGTAACCGTCAGCAGCGGGTCCATCGCAGGCACCATTATTACTGTGGAATGTCGAAGGCTCACTGGGTCAGGTGGGCAAGAAAAGGCACGGGCATTGGTTGGGTCCTGAGTGCCTGCCAGCTGCTTGGTAAGCCCAGTTTGTTAACTAGGGCGTAATATCCACAAAATATCCCTTTTCTCTTCACTTTGCAGAGAAGATGCTAAGCTCAGAGTGGTGTGTGGCTGCTTCAGGTCCCCTGTTCCTCCCACTGTTCTCAGGGGATGGTGCCTGCCTCTCCCAGAGGTCAAAGCCCAAGGTCACCGTTGCCCTCTCCCTCACAGCAATCAGGAGGGCTTCCCGGAGGAGGCGCTGAAGCAGAGACCTGGAGGTTCAGGAGCAGCCAGACACACACACACTGGGGAGAGCACTGCAGGCAGAGGGAATGGCATATGCAGAGGCCACTCGAGGTGAGAACAAGTTGAAGAACAGGAAGGAGGCCAGGTGCGTGACAGGGAAAGTGACCCTCAGTGAGCTGCCTGTTGATGCGTCTCAATGCCATTCCAAGTCTATTCCTGAGTGATCTGAGTTGGAATATCGCAGACGAGCTTGGCTAAGAGGCCATCGCCTGTGCTGAGGGGTCTGTCTGTCTGTCTGGCAGGACTCTGGAGGTTTGGCTTGTGAAGTCACAGAATCTGACCTTTGTCACACTTGGGAAGGAAGGCCACAGACCAGAGTAGGACTGAAAGCAGGAACAGGGCCCGAGTCTCAGCGGCAGCTGGCTGGGCCTCACGCAGGGCACCTGGTTCTGGTGCGGAGAGGCACCGTGAACTTGACAACATCTCTGCACCGCACCGCTCGGCGCAGGAGAGTAAGCGAGACTCAGACAGTGACTGAGTTAAAGTTAGGTTTCCTTTCAAAGCCTCCATGTGGACAGGGCCACCTCCCCTTCCTTGGGGTGCAGAGTGCTCCTTGGAAAGCCATTCATCATAGCAACCCTTGCACCCCACACTCTTCCTCCATTTCCCGGGGCGCCTGGAGTCAAGGGGCTGTGGGGGCGGAGTGCAGGCCTGGGCTCCTCCCGGGAAAGCACAGAGGCGGGTGGTTCAGAGGGCTCATGGAGGCAGAATGGCCTGGTGTGAGTTCCAACGTCTCCCTTCTCTCTCTGCGTGACCTTCGGAAAGCTGCTTTACCTCTTGAGTTCCAACGTCTCCCTTCTCTCTCTGCGTGACCTTTCTGAAAGCTGCTTTACCTCTCGGAGTCTCAGTTTCTTCATCTACAGAATGGGCCCAGGGATAGCATCTACGCTAAAGGTTGTCAGACGAATGAAACGAGTCAGTGCATGATCAGCAAATGTAACTGTTCTCATTCAAAGCTGAGCTTGCACAATCCCGCCAGGCTGGCCCAGCATCTGATTTAACAATATATCACCCCCACCCCAGCCCGCAGACACATGTAAAGTCTTTGGTTGATAAAGTCACACCTGGGAAATGACCACTCTGACCTTGAACCCGCCCTCTATCCCAGTGGAGCCCCTTGCAGGCCAGACCCCACCCACAAGACAGAGCCTCCAGCTGGCTGCTGGGGAAGGCCCCGGCCCCGGCCCCGGCCCCGGCCCTGCCCCACCTTGCAGCAAGAGCATCTTCCGTGGCACGAGGATGCCAAGCCTGAACTTCGTCCTCAGCAGGATTATCCTGAGGACGAGGTGAGCTCATGGCTGGAAAGGGCTTTGGGAAAGAAAGAGCCGGATCCCACTCGGTTATAACAAAACTAGAGGCCTGGTGCACAGATTCGTGCACATTGAAAGTAAATTAATTAGAAGGTGGCTGGCAGGGCGGGACTGGGCCAGATGGGCTGGACACACCCTGGAGCCAACCTCCTGTGGCCCCTCCCCAGCAGGCTGCACCGGGGGCAGCGCCGGGGCTCAAAGGGCATCTGCTGAGTGAGCGGGGTCCCTCTGGCAGGTGGGGTCCCTCAGCCTGGCCTACGGGGGGTCAGGCCAAAACTGGCAGTCCAACACCCCCTGAGGGGTCCCAGAGTATGAGAGGGCACTCTGCAAAGTTGCTGTCGCTCGGCAACTCCTGCATTGAGCATCTGCCCCCTGGTGATCATTGTGCATCATAGCTACCAGTCGGACGGTCGAATGGTTGGATGGTCACTTAAGCTTTTACATATATAGATAACACGGTGCACCTGCATGATCGCTGCTTGGGCAGGAATAGCACCTGTGGGAGTTGTACGCTCAGCCGGAGAAGGGGTGCGGGGAGACAGGCAATGAAGAAGGAGGCCTCAAGGCAGGGGTCTCAGCCGCGGTGCCCCACATGATCGCTGCTTGGGCAGGAATAGCACCTGTGGGAGTTGTACGCTCAGCCGGAGAAGGGGTGCGGGGAGACAGGCAATGAAGAAGGAGGCCTCAAGGCAGGGGTCTCAGCCGCTGGTGCCCCACCAGCACCTACCAGCAGGCACTTGACGGGGAACTCCTTCAGGCCTCTGTTCCTCGGAGAGTCAAAGACGACGGGCAGCGCCTTGTGCGGGGCTTGGATGTAGCCGATCTCGATTTCATCCTGGGCACAGCGAGCGGAGGGAGGCTGGTCACATGCTGCCTGGGTGTTAGCACCCAGCGCGGGGAGGGGCGGGGAGCACCCTCCACACGTTCTCCCCGTGGCGGCCAAGGACAAGTTCATGCAGGATGCTGGACCCCAGGGGAGGGGCTCTGAGAAAGCAGAGCTTATCGTCCTGGGTTTGCACCAACATGTTGTGAAATTCTGAGTGTCCTTCACGCCACTCCTGGGGGGTGCCCCGCTGGGTCCTGGGGACCCATCCTGAGCGAGCCTCAGGCACTGTCCTGGAGGTGAGAGCCAGGGGGCTGGGGACTCACCACCCCGGGTTAGGAGGTGATAGGAAGGGAGGGAGGGGTCCATGGGAACACGGAGGAAGGGCTGCGAGGGTGGGACAGGTCAGGGGGGAGCATTGCTGAGCCGAGGCCTGGAGGGCAGGCGTAGGAATGGCCTTCTCCCAAAGGGGGACAGGTTAGGGGAGGATCAGGAATGAATTGGGTGCAAATCCTGCCTGTGTTCTAGCAGACAGATGCGATACTGGGCAGAAGTCACTTAAGCTGACCCATATGAAATTGCCATTCCTGGAGGTCAAGAATGGAGGCCTGTCAGCCGTTTCATGTGGATCAACCTGCTTTATCACAGAGGGAATGACAGAGAGGAAGAGAGGGTGTTAGAGGGTGGGGGGGAGAGGAAAGAGGGCTGAATTCCCACAGGGGATGGGGCACATTTACAGAGGGGGAGCTCTCAGGCTGGGAGCGGGCAGGCATGATGTGGACGTGGGGATGAGAATGGGGAGGGTGGTCGGAGAGAAGGAACAGCGTGGGCAGAGGTGTGTGTGT